TGAGTGTTGTTCTCATTTTGATCAAAGATTCTCAAAGATTATCTTAGACAAGCTCCGTCATCAATATACTTTTATTTGTGTTGACAATCTTTTAGTCATACAACAGTAATTTCCTACAAAAAATGAACTAATCCAATTAATCCCATTTTAAAATATACATCTAATTGAAACTGTATCACTGCCGGCCTCAAACCCGGATGAGAATGGAGGAGGGTAGAGACCATGACGGAGAGTTCGTAAAACTTAGACACATTCCCTTTATGGTACCTCGAACATTTTACGGCATCGGTCGTCGCTCCGGCTACCAAGGGTCATGCAAGCGGTTGGGGATTGAGGTAGGCTTCGAAAAGTCGGTAGTCTTAACCTGCTTCTCAGATTCTGACACCTGAGCACGCAGCAACATTACAACGGCTGCCGAAGATCGATGAGTCGATGACGAAGGTTTTAATCAGCAACAGAGTCACCCATTCTGAACCTAGGATGCACACAGCGCGATGTTATTATAGCACGTCAGAAGAGGCTCCACATGAATGACACCTCTAGTGGGAGCTGACAGTAACATATTTTAACATATCCTCACTCAGACGGAATGAGCAGGAGATATTTGATGAGGTTGCAAAGCAGTTGGACTTTAATCAGTGAAGTCCCAAGACTCTGGGCTCCTGAACCTCAGTAGATGGAAGCTGTTCTACTCAGATGTCGATATCACGACGTGCGTTCAGGCTGGTGTGAGTGTTTTGGTAAAGCCCAACATGACGGATGAAATTAGTGAATGAAAGCACGTCAGCGAAAGAGTTGCAATCATCCGGCTGATCGAATGGGAAATATTTTCTTCCACGGATATGAAGACGAAATTAGTAAAAATCGTTGCAGGGCGGATTGAATGGATCCCGGTAATGTGGAAACGGAGTGAGTACTCTTTAAGAAAAGCGTACTCGGGGGTACCGCTAAATGCAGTGGATTTAAACGGGTTGGCCTGCCCCTTGGAGGTCAGAAATCAACCTCCTAGTGGACACGAGAGGTACAATTGGCGGTCATTGAAAAGGAGGCTACATTCAAGGAATGGTTTGGAAGCATGCAGCATTCAAGTTGCATACATGAGTCATAGCGCTGAAGGCCGCAGAGAAAGCAGTGGCGAAAGTCAACGCTAATTCTTGAGAGAAGTTCGATGAGATCTTGGAGTCGAATTTCGAGATGGCAAACAAGGCATCCTGGCAGACCGTCCGCCCGTTTTGAGATGAAAAAAAGGGTAGTCTACGAGTCTTGAAGAACAAGCCTCAACCTCTTTTTGCCATGGATGAATACATTGTCCGGTGATAGAGAGAATACTTTGCGGAACTCCTTAACTCCGAGCAACTGCAGGAAGATTAGTCTGTAGAGAACGGATGTTATTATTCTGTAAATGTACTGACACAAGCTGTAAAAAGGTTGGAAGATGGAAAAGCTGCTGGAATCGATGAATTCCACCCTGAAATATTCGAGCTTAAAAATACAGAAAATCGTGTGATGGCTTACGCCTGCTTTTCAAATTGAAACTGAAGTGGCTATGGTGACCAATCGAACAGAGAACAGTGTTTGTAGTACCCTTGTTCAAGAAGAGAGAGCAAATGGACTGACTCTTTTATCGGGGCATCACCTTATTGAGACTCCCGAATAACACCTACGCAAAAATGCTAGAAAGAAGGTGCCATGGAATAACTGACTCCGAAATGCAAGAGCAGTGTGGCTGGAGGTATGGCGGATGCATGTCTGATCAAATATTCGCCCTACGCCAGGTTGCTGAGGAATCGTAGGAGTTTGCTCATTAAGTGTAAACGTGCTTTGTGACCTAGAAAAGTCTATCCGGATCCTACGCAACATCATATTTGCATGCATGTGAACATGCAGGATGAATGATCAGTTGCCTAGGCCATCAAATCACCGTTAGCAGGTGTTGCGTCAGAGTAAATGGCGCTAAACTGAGACCTTTCAATTTTTGCGTCCTGTTCCCTCTCCTGTTCGTGCTGTACATGGATGAAATAGTCAGTCGCAGCCAGGGTGCTGATTTTGTCAGCATTGGTGATGATACGATGAGGAGGTTTCTGTTTGCAAATGATTCTGTTTAGGTAGCATCCTTTGAAACTGATCTATTGCGCTCTCTGGAAAGGTTCGCAGCCGAGTTCGACGAGGCTGGCATGCGCATGAACGTATCTAAAACGGAAAGCCTAATGCTTTCTCTGTTTCTTTCCAATCTTTTTCTTCAGATAAAATTAAGTGCCTCGGGGTCCTGTTTGCTGCTGATGGAAAATTGGAGAAAGAGATCGACTTTCGGATTGAAGTAGCGAGCGGCGTTCTGCACGGACTATCCCAAACCATCGTGACTGTTGCAGAGCTGAGTCTGAAGACTGCGCTCTCAGTATTCAAGTCGGTCATCATCCCGATGTTTACCTGTAGCCATGAGTCGGGTCCATGACTGAAACACTTGACTCCATTTACAAACGGCTGAAATGGGCTTTCTGAGACGAATCACTGGCTTCGAGCGTTTCGACATGACACAGTGTACAGAGATTCGCTTCAGCTAGGTTACAGCTTCTGCTTCTTTAGATTCTTGAAAAGCCGTTGCGTTTGCTTGGGCACGTTTTGCGAATGCCTCAGAGAAAAAGATTAAGCAACTATTATTTGCTCAGTCGATAGACTGATGGCCAAGGGGACGACTCAGATTAACCTGGGGCAAATGTATTAGAGTCTGCTCTGGTCTGCGGTTGTCTTCTAATTAGACGCGAACTCTTGCACTTGATAAGAAACGCTAGAGGCACTAGCTGACACGTCTGTCTTCACGACCCGGAAAGAGAACCAATAACGGAAGATGAAGATTAATATTGAATTGTTTTGGTTCGAACAGAAACATTTACTGTTATGGAGTTCAGAGACTGTCCGTTGAAATAAAGTCGTAAGAACAGCTGCTATATGAAGCAAATATTGTTGAATTAAAAGGTACTTAATGAAACTATATAATATCAAAAATATTGTTAAGACAGTTGAATTTATGCGAAAAATACTGTCATTTCGGATAAACAATATTTACGGTTAGAGGTTGTGTACGGAAACGTATACATTGTATTATCAAATATAATTTGAAATTATGCATCGACCTTACATGTGCGTTACAGTACATCCTTTCGGCGCCATTTTTACCTGGTTCAA